TTATGAGCTAGGGAAATTTTGTAAATGTTATCCAGGAGATAATCTGATATATCATACTGATCTAAATTAATTGTTTTATCTTGATAAAAGTTAACAGCATTTGTTTCTAATGTAAAATAATCAGTATCATTGAATAATAATCTAGTATGATTATCGTATTCAGTCCCGTATTTAGGGGGCGGGGGGTTGCATAGGTAGGCACATGCCCGGGGGCGTCAAGTCTCAGGGGCGGCAAAATATTTTAGAAACTTACTTTTAAAAATGATGTACCTAATGAAAAAAAAAAATAAAACAACAAAAAAAAGAAAATAGTAAGTTTTATTATGTTATGATTTGTTTAATTTGTTAATTACAAAAAGAATCAAACGATTTTCATAATAAAATAATAAGCAAAATAAATTATATGCTCATGGGCTCCAAATTTTTAAATACGGGCCTGATCGTATTATTTCATTTTAACGTAATAATATAGTATTTAGTACTTGTTACTATAACTTATATTTCCTATAAAGGCAATAATCTATACCAAGATTATATGATCATCCAGTTAAATTTCCTAATAATTAATAATTTTAAAAATTATATTTATAAAAATAATTAGAATCGTGATCAATTGTTTCGTCCATCCGAAATGTTAACTTATTTTACCTAAACTTATATGAAATATCTTAAACTAATATGATTTTTGGGAATTCAATTTAATGTAAAACAATTATGTAATATTATATAATAATATTTGTATGATTACGATGAATTGTAAATCATATTCATATTTTTTTTTTTTTTTTTATTAATTTTAAAAATATTTTATATCATAATAGGATACAAATAGTGTGTATATTAGATTATTTTGAGCTACAGAAAAAATAATTTTTTTTTTGATACATTGATACAGTTTTTATATTTATAGCAATGTAGTGAAAATAAAACGAATCAACAATTGACATCAACTTTTAAATTATAATATTGTATAAATCATAATTATTATAATATAATGCCAAAAAAAAAATGAATGAGTGATAAGAAAAATGCACTAAAATAATAAAAACCTAAAAACTAAATTATTTATGATATTATAAAAAAATGTAATCTATGATTTCTATTAAAAACACGGAGCTAAAGCCTTGATGAAACATTACAATTATGGTATATATTAATATAATAATAATATATTGATTATATATTACAATCATAGGTATATTATTGTTATTAATATTATACTCGTAATATATAACATAAAATGTTAACACTTTTATTAAAAATAATTAACAGTTTATATTTAGGACTTTTTGAGGATTAGTACTTTAGAAAAAAAGTAACAAACTTAAAAAGATAATTTTATGATAAAATCATGATTATGTTTTTATCAAAATATTAATATCAAGAAAAAAACAAAAAACAACTACTGTTGTATGATATTCTAAATATGTAATTGTTAACAAATAACAAGTAAAAACACAATATAGTAAAACTGATGACCTATCACTCGATACTCATTGTAATTAAATTACTTCACTTAAAATTAAAAATATCTGTTTCATTTATTTTTGATGATATTAACAATTAAATCCAATTTACTACCTATTTCGAAGATAAAATAAAACCTCAGTAAAGTCATTGAATATCGACATTTTATTTTTTAAGAAATATTTTGTCTAGAAAATGATTAGTATTTTTAATAGATTTATACAATTGAATAACTTAATGTATAATTATAAAAATGTGTTGTTTTTATTGTATTATATATTTTTATGACTATATAGGTAGAAGGGAGAAGATATTTTTACGTGTATATACTCGTAACACATTATACATTTTATCTTAAAAAAACCAAATTGTTGATATGTTGTTATGTCCTTCTAAAATTGATTTTACATTTTGAACACTGAATAGGTTAGTTTTTTTATAGCTATTATAGGTAACATATATTTTTATTAATTCATTATTTATAACTATACAATATGAAAAATTATAAAAATAAAATATCCAACGAGAAACACTTTGTTGTAAATAGTCTAGTATTTATATAATATATTTATTGTATTATTGAAGTAATTTTAATGTTATAAAAACAGATCAATAATAAATTAAATCATTTTTTATTTTTTATGTAGGTATAAGTTTTCAATATAATTTTAAAAATTAGACATTATTTTAGTTGGTCCATCAACTAAAAATTATTTGAAATACAATTTTCACCAATACTAAAATATTTAGATAACATTTAAAATATTCATAATATGATTGTCTGGGATGTTACGTACGTTCTAAATAAATGCGGTATTTATGATATGCAGTGTGAAAATATGTCACATAGCTAAGACCATAAATTTATGAAGACATACGTATAATAGAAAAAGTATTTCGTGACACTAATAATACTAAAAACATAAAAAATATATAAAATTCCAAAAACCCATTAACCTATTAATAATAATTTTAATTATTATTAACATTTATAATAAAATAATGTTAATAAAAAACAACTCTGCTAGAAAAAAAACAGTAAAAATAATTAGTTTAATGAAGAAACTAGTCACTATGGAGCTTACTAAAGAATATTATACTTGGATAATTTTATTTTTTGATTACACAAATCCATGATATGAATCTATGGTTGATGAATTGGAGATCCACATACCAGTTTTTATTTTAATAAAAGAAAAAGAGAAGATATTTTTATATTGTATTGGAAGTATATCACTATTGTTATGGTTTTATTAGAAATAAACTTGGTTGCCCATAATACCAGATTAACCAGTCGTACAACACCATCTCCCAATTAGTTGATTTACGCTTACAATGATTTTTACTTAAATAAATGTATTAACATAATGTAATACTAGATGATAGATACATATACATCACACATATATATCATGTATTTATAAATAATATAATGTAAACGTATATATGTATAACTCGTTTATCGAAATTCTTATTAACCTTTTTCATTTGAGACGTTTTGGTATTTTATTTTTTTATTATGTACTAAGTTTAATTTTCTGTAGATAAATATATTTATATAATACTCATAGTTCTATATTATTAATACATAATATGGATTAAAATTACATTGAAAACTTTGAATTAAAAAGTAAAAATATTCTTTGCTTCGCTTAGAATTCAAATTATCATTTTTAAATTTTCAATATTTTTACAACTATGAAGATTTTACTCAGATATTAAAAATTTATATGATTAGTGGTCATATAACTAAGATAGCCATTGATATTGGAATCAAACTAATAATAATAAATAATACTTTAAATAAATAGGAATATGTAGTCCATAGTTCTAATTTTGGATAAAATAACGTTCATATAGTTACGCAGTATAGTATACTATACTGCGTAACTATATTTGTTAACATCTAAATTATAATTTCATAAAATAGTACTTCAATTACCTATGATTTGTGAGTTATTAAAAAAGAGGTTACCATAATTATTAGTAACATAAGTCTTCAAAAAAATCATTTCTGCCCCCATTAGTTAATTATCATGTATGCCTCTAGCTATTGAAATAAATTTAAGAATCCATCAACAATGGTAAATCATGCAATCTTGTATAATAACATATAAAAAATAGAATAAACCAACCTGTAATGACTGAGTATTTCACTATTCTTACATCATATTATTTTTTGAAAAAATTACAAAACATGGTTCTTAAAATTATAAGAATAACATTTAAATACACTTTTCAGTTATAAGAAAAATAATAAATAAATAGTGAATTGCAATAATTTTAATTAAATCACCGTTAAAAATCACCTGTTTATCACTACGATGAATATTTATGTAAATATTGTCTATGGTTACCGAGGGATTTAAAGTGAAAAAACGTCAAGTCTCTTCCAATCAAAAACTTAGAAAACTCGCCTGTTAATACATAACATAATTATAACCTAACCTAATTATAAATTAACACATTTTAACAAAATTACAGCTTTACTTGTATTAAAGAATACATTCGATTTGATTTTAAATGTAAATAGGTACTATAAAAAACAGTTTTTTGGTAGCCTAGATTTAAATTTTACAATCTTAGAATTTCAACTCGCATATTTTAATTAAAAAATAATGTTATCGTTATTCTTAAAACTAATCATATAATTTATCTATATTTTTTAAATGTTAAAATATAAATTATGAGTATAAATTGAAAATAAATCGAACTATCCATCATTAGCTACCTCATTTCTGAAAATGATTTATAAAGTATTAAAATTCGTAAATATTAATAAGTATACAATATTATTGTCTTGTATTGAAAGATATCAAGAACGAAAATGTCTGTTGCTCTAAGAACCATACCACCTTTCCTATATACACGTTTTGAAAATTCTATGTATAGTTTAAAAATGTTGTCACTTAAAATCAGTACTGAAATAAATAATAACAATAATAACAAAATAATAACAATAAAAATGTTTTAATAAACTTAAACGAATTTTACTAAATGTCAACAAGGTAATTTGATTTCGTCTGTAAAGTATAAATAAAATCTAAAATATGTGGATAATATAGTTACGGGTTTCACGCACAAGTGATTGACTGTATAACCGGAGCGACTATCGGTGCGTCCAGAAGTCTGCCACGTTTTGATGGTCCACTTTGTTCGCCTTCTGTCCATATTGATTTACAATATTAAATTAAGTTATTAGAATCCGATAAATAATAGATCAAATGGCCATCAAAGTTGCCGGAGAAGACAATACGGCTGACATTTTTCCACATATATAAGTGTGTGTGTGTGTGTATTTGCGAGATAAATACTGCTCGAAACGGATGAGTTAAAAAAATAAATAAAGAACGAAGGGGAAAAAATGCAGTCGTTCGGGCCGCGTGTGCAGACATGCTATTATCAAAGGTGCCGCTATATTCCCGTGAATTGCGGTTGGTAGCGGTTCCAGTTTCCCGCGAGGACCGGTTCCCCCGTTCTCTTCCTGACGATGGCGGCGGACGTACACGCCGCCCGTGGTCGTGGTCGTGGTCTCCCGGCAGCGTTGTCGGTCGGTTACGCTAAAGAACCGGCCGCCGTCTCGCCGGTGGTAGTAGTGTGTCTCCACGGGTCCACGAATACGCGTTGCACAGGTGTCCGCGCGCGCGCGCTACTAATATCCGTCGTACGTGTACCGCAACTACGTTTTTCCCGTGTTTTCCGTTTTCCGTATTTCTTTTGTCGTCCGTCTCGATCCCGCGCAAATGTTACTTCGCTTCACGTGGTCGGAAATCGTGCGCCGCATATAACGTACACAAAGAAGCATACGACCGTTAATAGTATACGATCGTGTCTTGTCGCCGGTACGCGTATCCCGGTGGTCCGGTGATTCGGTTCCGTTTGAAAATAATTATACGTGTACAACTACTAATCTTCTGTTGTTGATAATCGTCAACGTTTGACGAGTACACCGGAGTGCGAAGTAATGTGCGACGGGCGGCCTACAGGAAACCACTGAGGACGACAGTAGAATATGATCGTTTTCGCGTGCCGGAAAAACTTCTGATCGTTACGGGGCACAGCAGTCGTTTGTCGCCGCAACATCATCGGACGCGGACACGAGATCTCGACCGTCCACCACTAATAGTTTACCTGTTCAAAACGGTAAGTTGATTAATTAGAGTTGTACTGCTCGTATTGCGTAAGGGGGTAAAATTGGGGGGGGGGGCTCGGTGATGGAAAACGGAATAAAAACATAATTTTAATATGAAACGCGACAGCGGATTTACGCGATCACGCACTTCGACGACCATAGCAACGGGGCAGCACGAAGATATTCGGATACGTTCGCAGCCGATTTATTCGTTTATCTACGCAGTGCGCACCGAAAACAATCCTTCGTTGATCCAACGGGTAAACACACCCGCTGATGTTATCTCGTTTGTTTTAATTCCGTCGGCCTTCCTACCTAACAATGTTTGCACGCGGCCGATACATTATAGTGACGGTCCTCCGCGTTCTGGTGGGCCGTGGCTCGCAAGACTAATAGCGAATACTTTATAACGGAATATATTGTATAATTAAACCATCGTATACATCCGTTCTATGGAGGGATCATTTCATTTTTTTTTCTATAAAGAAATTCGACGATAGTTATTAACAACACGTCATATACACACGTATATACGACGGTCTCGATCGTGTGTTATTATACTTGTATTTGACCGTTTTAACTACACTTTATAATATTATAACTATACGCTACACCATTTATATATAATATATATATATATATATATATATATATATATGTATATTATACCTACATCCGTATATGGGTACTGCTACTAATAAACGCACGCAAATCATTATGTTCGTATGGGTTAAAAATGTTCCGACAATGTATATTTGTTACGTGCATTTTCGAGACACCTATTTCAAACTATCAATTTTCTTTCTTCGTTTCATTCACTATAATATTATTATGGATTGTTATTAATTTATAGGTACGTTTCATACTGCTTCGTATATATGTATGTATATAGTAAAAGTACCTCTACTCTTCTCCGTAGTATATTGGATACTGCACTAATAGACACACGACTAATTGGCGTGTTACTTTTATTGTGTACGCATTCCGTTACACGTCTGTAATCTGTATAATATAACGTGTTGCCTGATACCTGGTTTTGCAGTCCGAATAAAACGAATGTTTTATTATTACACCGCGGTTAGTAAGTTATAGCACGAATTTTATAATTTATGTGATTTACGCTAACTGCAGTAACTGGTTAATTGACTGCGGTTTCAATGATCATAAATGTTGATTACAACTGTATTGTAAAACTACTACTACCAACATTACATATATATATTTGTGTGTGTGTGTGTGTGTGTACATGTATATATGTATATGTATATAAAGATAAATGCATCTGTTTAAACTTCTCACGGTGTATTGGGTACTTTTTCGAACATAACAACACCTGTAAATCTCAAATAGTAAATAAACCGCCCATATAAATTTCTCAAATCCCCAAGACAAATAGTCAACAATGGTGTTTTTCCTTGCAACCATTTAATTCATATCGAATTCTGAAACTTGTAATAATATTATAAATTGGTATGAAACCGTAACAGAAATTAACGAATTAACAGAAAATAATATGTAAAGTTTCAAACAAATGTCCGCGAACGCAAGCCATTGAATTATATTCAAGTTAAATTGATTACTGCGGTTAGCCGCCACACACGCGGTCCAACTCGGTTCATACATAAGATTATAGACGCGCATGTGACTATTACAGTTAATATCGTATTTACAAATTACAAGTTCGTATTGCGTGAACCTTGTTAGTAGTATAATGACATTGATATCTCTACTCGTTATATTACACATCTATATGACCGATTTATTCCGATACATAAAATGTTCTCTTACATATGTGTCTGTATACCATAACAACCCGATTGGAACCCGTAAAATTCAATTACTCATCGTTTTTGTCACCTATGAAATGAACAATAACAATACATAATATTTTATCGCTTTACTATATAACGGCAGAATTAGTGAAAAAAAAAAAAAAACGAGTTTTTAATAGTTTGCCAAACTCATAACATCTCCCACCACCAAGTATCATGCTTCACGTCGTCTTGAAGGGTGCGCCGCGCCGTGGGAAAACTCTATAGTATTGTCGGCGGCATTGTGTAAGTGTAAGTATGTATGAACATATATTTGTGAATGTGTGTAAGTATGCGTGTACGTATGTGTATATGTATATGTGTGTATGTGTGCGTGCTGAGAGTCGATGCCCTGTCTGTGGTCACCTCTCTTCCGGCTCGGGCCGGCTCACGGGTTGTAGAATGCCGTTGGGTCAAGGCTATAGATGCTCCCGCTGCGGTGATCGCCATACAGACTCGCGCGCCCCGCGATGCTTTCGTAGGCCAATAATTCTCCCACCGTCATCGTTGCCACTGCCGTCGCCGCCGCCACTCCTCACCCTCTCAATCGCCACCGTGTGTGCCCACCTGACCTAAATCAACTTACCTGATCTGCCCGAGGCGCATAGGTGCGCGCTGACTAAAAAACTACGGAGGAAAAATCAACTATAGCCGATGCGTAATACTTGTGTGTACCTAACCAGCAGAACCCGCGCGCGCAAGACTTTCTGCGGGATTTAATCATTTCTGAATACACTTATTAGTCATACACTCTCTTTCTATCTCTCTCTCACACACGCACGTACACGTACATAGAACACGTCTTGTGCTGTTTTTAGAGCATAAAGCACATCGTTCCAGTCGTCAAAGAATCGTAATTATTGTTTCCGTGTGTGAATCCTAACGAACAATTATAACGAATAAGTGCACACACCATACAAACCATAGCCTCGGCATGAGAAATAAAACTCTCTTATATAGTTTCTTTAATATTTAATATTGGTGTTTAAGTGTTATGTATTCGTATTGACTGAATGAAAAAAAAATATGCGTATCACTGGAATGCGATAAAAGTTTAAAAAAAATATTATGTATTATATTATAAGAGGCTTGTACCTCAACAATAAATAATCTATCCGATTGAATTGATATATATATATGCACTATAAGACGATGGCTTCTACTACATTATGAGAGAAGAAAATAAGTTATCCGTCTATTAATTAGAGGTCCGGTGGGGAGTTTAGGAATTTTTAGATTCGGTCCAAAAAAATGTTGTCTCCCATAATCCGGTTAGGACATCAGACAGGTTTGATAATGTCAGCCCCGGGGCCCCCTTCCTATATAGTGCCCTTCACACGCTATATATATGCACACCCGGTCCAAGAATAGTACTGGACCAGCCACGTGTGGTACGCACGCGCAAGAACTTTGGACGGTCTGCAGCTGCGGACGTCGGTTAATTTTAAATTCAGAACAGGTCCGATACTGATTGAGAATGTCAGGAATTTGACCGACTGATGGGCACACTTTCCAAATAATATGTGTCTCGTGCAATAATCACGCGCAGGTGCTATGACGTCACTGCATATTATACATTCATGGTGCAACATTGCGGCAATTCAATCGAAAATTTGTCCGGTCTCGAGGTCATTATTTTACTAATCACATACACAAACACGTGCATATTTATGTTTATATTTATATACAAATGCACTGGATGTATGTGTGCATTTACTTTTTTTGTGCATCTTACACATTTCAAGGGCCAAACCTCGCGTCATACGGTCTCGCACGATTTCACTAGTAAACACACTTATTATACACGCATTGTCGCAACGTGACAGCAATGTTAATATTCGTTAAATCCAGGACGGAACTGACAATGAGCCCACGGGCAAACAATAGGGAGTCGCCGTCATCTGCGATTTGTGCGACCGACCGATGGGATACAGACTGTACATACCCGTAAAGTAGGTCGATACGCCGTGGAAAAGAAAAATGAGATGGAATAAACATCATTGATACATTACTAATCCGATTAATAACGGAATGGAAATCTTGTATCAAAAGAAAACCATTTGTCGATGAAAAAAAATATCCTCTATACATATGTATTTTCTTTTTTGTCAGATAAATACTTCTCATTGATGCCGCACTGCATTATCGCGACACGCCTTGTGAAGAGCAACTCGTTTCCAGGCACATCGTTTTTCTGAGAATCTTTAGTAGATTTAATAATTTATCCGGCGCGCTTAAAACGGAGACTGTACGGAAACCCGTTTCTTTCTTCCTCGTTTTTACATCCTTCATTTCCTCGACAGACAAACGTAGTTATAGACATTGGTCATTTTTCTTCTTTTTTTATTTATTTTTTTTATTTCGTTTGTCCATTCATTTGTTTTTTACAAACATCAGTCAACGAAAGTAAATCACATAACAGAAATATATGATAGACATAAAAAAGACGCCCATGTCCAATGCCACCATGCATGCCGGATATATACCATCCATTGACTGCGTCGTAGAGTGTAGACTGTATTGAGGTATTCCGTGAAGAGGGTCTGGCAAGGTATTACTGAGGTCTGAAAACGGTTGTAAAAACGTTACGACCTATTCCGGTAATTGATAAATGTGGTTTTATGACTAATAAATTTATTTATTTTTTATTTTTCGAGTTTACACTGTTTACATATGCAATATTCTAACATGTACACCAAAGCGAAAAATTCGCTACTAGCCAAATATCAGCAACCATTGCAAAGCTATTATTAACTTCTAATGGCAGCCAAATCAAAAACGTATGGTTATTATATTGTTGCATTATAAAATATTTGTTGGCTAAAAATGTACTTGTTATACCAACAAAATTGTCTCAAGTATAGTAACAATCAAATCATCAATAATTGTATTGTTTGAATAAAATGAATTAGATGGCAATTTTAAAAATACACAAACTTTGTAAACACTATGAATTTAATTTCAATAAAAAAAATTGAATGAAGTGATTCTGATATAATGGGTGTTATGGTATCCATATAAAAAAAATACACGCTGAGATGAGCGTTAATGGAATTGTTGGCCTAGAATATTTTGGTGAATAGGAAGTAAATTTATGCTCTGAAAATCTCATAAGTGAGCGTTGAAAACGTTTTTTTTTTAATTAACTTAATTTATAAATTCAAAGAAATCTCAATACGGGCGTATATAAAATAGTTTACTTATTATATGATAGCGAAAAAACTGTTCAATACTTAAAACAAAACGGACTAACACTTATTAATACTTCGTTTAAATTCTATATTGTTAAAAAATGAACTCATCTACAGTATTCAAACAAATCATAAGTTTTGTTAGACAAAAAAAATAAAATAAAATCCAATAATAACAATTTTTAGACGATAAAATGTTAATTAATTTCATTATGAACTTTTTCAGTATTCATGAGGCATTGGAAAGAAATATTTCTTATAAAAATTATTCTCTCTGAAATATGTACATTTCAATTATAAAAATTGATCTTACTTGTCTTACTATAAAATTGTAATTTATTGAATCACTGAGAAACCGGAATGTTGATGCGCTTAGAAATTAAAACTTTTACCTTATTGTCTGGGTTGAAGTTAGCATGTTTAAAATTCGAATGTATTTCATTTTAATTTTTTTTTCAAATGATAATAATTCTATATTTTAATTAAAGAAAAAAAATATAATAAGATAAGTATAAGCTGTGTACGCTTTACGGATTAATGGCTTCGTAATATAAAAATAAGACCAAATTGATGTAAAACCAATCGTAACAAATTCTAGAAGCTTCTATAAAATGAAGTTTTCATGAATATTTCTAAATTAATACCATAAAATATATCGACGATCATGAAGTATAATATGCAGAATAAGAACAGAAAAAAAATTGGCACTGTTCGTTTGCCTACGCTCGAAGGAAAAAATATGCGAAGTGTGTCGGTTGCATTATATATACATATTTAGCTCTTAGACATCATAAATATCAGGGTTTTTAACAATGATTTAGTTAATTTATATTAATTACCTATACGCAATTGCAGTTTGTGTGTGCAGTTATCGCGATCGTCGTCAATGAGTCGCGTTTGGAGAGAGTAGCATAAAACAATAATAATTACATTACGTCAGTGACCGCGATTTTCCGCACGTGTTATTAATGTTCCTCCTCTCTCTCTCTCTCTCACTCACTCTCTTGCAGTCTTTATGAGGGGAGGGAGAGGAATAAAAAAGGAAAAATAAGCTCTCTAAGAGGGTTTGTCAGACCATAGCATCATTAGAAAAATAAAAAATAAAATAAGATAAAATAAATAAATACGATGACGGAGAGAAGAAAATGAGTGGAAAAAAAACGTGAGCGTGGTTATCATCGCGCAAACGATTCCAGGAACACACTTGCAGCACAGACGATCCGGACGCGCAGACTTAATTACGTACTGATGGCACGTATTTACGGCTGTCGCCATCCCCCGGCCACCCGTCCTCCGTCCACGCAGGTGTCAGTGTCGTGCGAATACTCGCCGTCGCCGACCACGACCTATACCGACTACGCGATATTTTTTTTTATTTTTATTTTATTTCATTTTTTTTTTTTTTTTTTTTTTTACAGTTAAAAACGTCTCGCGCGCTCTGTACCCTCGTACGATATACGTACGCCACCGTCTAACCTGTACCTGTACCTATATTCCTATATTCCTCGGTCTACGGTAGACTCTGACCGCGACGTGTGCGTTTGCGCGCGCCGCGGACGAGAAGAAACAATCGCGTCGTCCGAATGACCGAGCGCACGCGCGCACGATTTTACGATTATCTGTTTTTAACGAGTGCAACAAATCCGCCCGTACGGTACAATGCGACGCACAGGAGATGAACGCAAAACAACAATAACAATAATTATTACATACGCGCGCGTTTAACTACAGATATATATATATATATAATGTACAAGCAATGCGCGCACGTGCACAGCCGCCGCCGCCGTCACCGTCTCAACGCGCGCGCGCCCGCTCAGCTGTCCGTTAAACGGTTGTGCCATTTAAAAAAAAATAATAACGTTAAGACCGCTTGTGCGAGACCCGTCCGAATGAACATTGATTCATTTTACTTGTTTAATTATTGTTATAATTTTTTTAAATTTTTTTTCCCCGGTTTTTTTTTTTTCAGAGCGATGTCTCAGACGATGGACCACAAGACCAAGGAAATCACAGCTGCATGGACCGCTTGGTGGATTCTCACGTTTTCCGTGAGTACTATACATACCAGTGTACAATTTAAATAACACCGTATACCTAGATAAAACTTTCAACGGAACACAACTGATTGTGTTATATAAACGAGCAAGTGGTTAAAAATCTACACAATTCATTGCATTAGCAAAAATAAATGGAAATAACTATGGAAAAACATTTTATTCTTTTATCTACTATGGCATTTACATTCTCCATTATTTGTTCATTTTTTTAACCTACGTCTGTAAATGATAATCGCTATTGTGTATTCATAAGACTGAACCAAGATTCAAAGAAGGATCCAACGGGGGAAATAGGAAATAATAATCTTTAATTATTTTTAGTTTTATGTTCTGCGCTTCGTTTAGAATCTAAAATATAGTATATGCTTTTAAATGTTAAACGTTTTTAGATTTTTATGATTTTTTTGAACGGCATATTGTGTCCCTATACCTTTGAGAAATTTCGCGTAAGCCACTGGTCGTTCGTATAAAAGTATAACCGAGCGTTTTTCGACACGTAACCAATAAATTATTATTAAATATAAAAGCCACACAGCAACACGACCACATGCCGTACGCACACGTGAAGTAGTCAGTGTAATGTCAGTGTTTAAAGGTACTTAATACTTGTTATGAATGTGGGGTATCGTTACGGTATTTATTATTAAAAATAATAATCGGCGATAGTGTTATGATAGTATAAAGTCGTTGTGGGTATTGGTTTTAAATATTCGTACACTGATATCGCGTGGAACGTGTTCCCATCGAACCGCTAAATGTCTACGCGTGGTGCACGTGAGAACATCTTACATGTACGTGGTTACACGTCTCATCTGCGACCCGGTGATATTTTCCGTCATAGCGCCGACTTCTAAATGTCACGTCGGGTCAAAGACACATATTATTATTACCTGTACTACCCGCGTGTTACAGGAGGAACCGTACGAAATATTATATGCGAGTTTGTCTGAACATGATACACTTAATATTATACATTTTGAAAGTGGTATGCCCGTGAAACACGCGCTGTATACCTACACACATAGCAGCAGCGTCCTATTAAAATAGCGTAATAATATTGTTTTAAAATAGCAGTGCGTAAAAACTGGACATCGTTTTACATAAATACATAATATCTACATTTACATAAACATTTTTATGTTGCAGGTTTTTTTTTTCTTTTCCAAGTTCTAGGACACGGCGAATTTTAATATAATTACTATCATTCGGTCTCGGGCGTTATTGTTCCCTCGGGACTTCCGTAGCCGCTTTTCGACAATATTTATTTTAAACGGCCGATTACGCACCATACGCTTTTTACACTCCCACCACCAATCACCACCAGTCACTTCTCATTTTTTTAAATTATTATTATTATTATTATTATTCCTCCTTCCTCCTTTCCTTAAACGAGAGCTAAAAATAACTATTCGCAGTATTCGCAAACGATGTTGTTTTACAATACTATATGACTGTGTTTTTGTTTGGAAAGTCGACAATAAGCGTTCCGTTGCAAATGATGAGCAACTGACGACAATAATTCAATTTGCCCCTCCACTCCACATCGCGCATGATTGTCTCTTCCAATATAATCAAGAAATAAAACATAATTTATGTATATATCTATATAATATTATGTGTTGCCCTTCTTCGCGATAATTATTCATAACCATTGTCTTTGGTTCTCATCAATGGGGTTGTTCTCCTTCTTGTGAGGTCATAAGCAGGTTAGCAGGCGGTACAAGTCACGTGCTTTACTGGTTACCTAAACTGGTGTACCGTTGGTTTTGAATGAAACACACACAACCTGTTTTCGTGTGCTCCCTATATTGAGCAATGACTGTATTCTGTGTGGATTTTTTTTCCGCTATACGTTCGCACAACAGACAAAAATGTTAAGTGTCTTACGGTTTAGACGGAAAATTATAAACTAATATCATATATGAACTGTATTAATATAATTACGCACAAATACTCCCACAAGTGCTTCAACAAACGGTGCGATGATGGTTCATATTTTAATAACCATCATCTATCTAACTTCTCTTTTTTCAATTTCTCCGTTGATCCAACAGAAAATAATCGTATATTAAATACTTAAGTACACTATAACGCATACAACGCGTATTCAAAGTGAATAAGAATATTTGTCAGCTTTCTTTTCCACTTATTGATAATTAACTTTTGCCAATTATATATACTTGCTATTTATCAACACATGCTAGACGTATCTTGCACGAAACATTCAATTGTATCGAAAGAACTATTTAATACGGTTAAAACTAAAACACCCGACTAGTAAATAGATTTATATGGGCTTATTGTCCAATAACGATATACTTAAATCGTTTATATAATGTTTGAGCATACACAATGATGCGTACAACCTGTACATTGTAAAAAGTATAATTTTATTATTAAGCTTAATAAATATTTTGATTCACCCTAAACTTCCATTCTCATTAATTCATAATTGTCTTATAATTAAATAATTACAACTTAAATAGATTTTTATGTAATTAAACTGAAATATCTAATTTGTTTAAATTATATATATTGTATCATTAAAAATACTTAAACATTTATCACATATATATAATTTTAAAAAGTTTTATACTTGATATCATTTTTATAAACATAATTTATTTGTTACTTTAAGATTCTAAGACTCTAAGATTCCCAGATTTTGAACTGTTTTCTTTTATTTCCCAGTACACTTATACTTCACTATAACAAATATTATTTTGCACTTAATGAATTTTTGATTTTCTACTTTTATTTAGAATTACCCTCTCCTTCTATTTTCATGTTACTATACTATACTTACTCGTTTGTTTCTTTATCTTATTTCTATAAATTTTAATTTTATAATTATTTTAATCATAGGTGATAAAACTAAATAATAATAATACTTTACTTATAAATATTGATATAAATTAAGAACTCATAAAGCCCTTTAAGTTAAATATCACATCAAATTTTTAAAGTAGTTATAAGGTAGTACATTTAATTAGTATATCAATAAACAATTTCAATATATAGAAAAAATTTAAAATGCATAATAAATAAGACTAATATATAACTAATCTATAGAAAATAAGTCCATTTATATATAAAAAAATGATAATTACTTAGTCATTTTCTAGTTTAATGAAAATAACTGTACACTATTTACTTATGAATATACTTCTAAATTACAAATTTTACTACTTTTTATTTTTATTTTACATTAAATATTATCTTATATAATTAACTCAAATTTCACATTCATTAGTAAAAATGAACTCGTTCTGATACGTAAAATTATCAATTCATCATAACCTTTTTATACATACTCGATACATATAATTACTAATTAACAACACATTAAAATTAATTAAAATTACTCTCACATTTTATACTTAAATATCATAAAATATACATTTTATTATAAACTACATTCATTCAGATTTACTACTAATTATTTAATACCGTAGATCATGAAGTTGAAGACTAATTAACGATCAAGTGTAACGGGTAATTCAACGACTTATTTTTTTACAAGAATCATAGTAATAGAGATTTAAAAACGTTTCAACATTTTTATTTTTCTACCTAGTAGGTACTATGTAAGTAAATATAATGAAGATATTTTATCACATATAAAATTGTATAATTTTACTATCTTAAGATCAGTTCAGACCGAGCGATATAAATATAAAAGGTAATACCTAATTTAAACTTTCTGGTGCACACGTCTTTCAAATAAAATCCTTTAATTTTAAGACAACCAATACCAGATATAAATTTAAATTAAACTATAATTTTTTGTATTTATTATAATATTTTTCTTTATATTCTTATTTTATTTTATTTTATCACTTAATTTTTAATTTGATCAATAATTTATTTTCATTTATTTTACACAATTCTATTTCTATCAGACACACATATATAAAAAATATAGAATTTTATTAAAACCATACTTTTCAAAATTCAAAACACACATATTCGTTCGATTGCATAGTTAATTTTCCTTTAACGAAACAATCCTGTTCCACTTTACGTATAATCAAATATTTTCATTATTTTCTATTATATGTACGTGATACGTATAAATACATTTATATGTATGACCATAGTATTGTATAGTATGAACATAAATTAAAATACATATTAATTACTAATTCTCACTGTAGCTGTTTAAATATTTTTTTCAAACTTCATGAGAACCAAATTAAATATACTTTAATTAAAACAATGGTGATAAATATATACATTTAAAAAGATATATATATATCTTTTTATTTTTACAACAGTTGTATACATAAATTCTTATCTTATTAATTAATTTAATTTTGTTTGAATTAATTAATACTTAGAGACATTTTTAAATTATTATTATTATTATTATTATAATTAAACCACCAATTAAAAATATGATAATATACACATAGTTTATATACATACATTATATATTATACTTACCAATTGTTATTTTTAAATATTAAAAGTATCTTTTTAATGTACTATAGCCTAAAAGCACGTATCCAGGGGAGGTCCATGGGGTCTGGACCCCTCACCCAAAATTTTTCCGTATTTCCATATAAAATTACTATCTTTAAAATTTAAATAAAAATAAAATACTTTGTTATTAAATATATATTACCAATTCAAAAATATTTTATTGTATTATGTTATTAAAATAAACTACTGTAGAACAGTTGAATTTCAAATACTATTTAATCGCGGAAGGCCTGCACAAGTAAACAACGTCGTATAACGTCAATAAATTATTATCTAACAATATTATGCGGCCATATGGCATTTTTACATCTTATTGGAGTTTCTCGTATTGGATTTCGTTGTTTTTCGAAAATAATAAAATATTTTTTGTACATATTATATATTACTTTATTATTATATATTATATTATATTATATTTGTATATATTATATATCAGTAGACAGCAATGCCTTTCATAGTTTCATGAAATTTTAATGACACATGAGTATTGAGTGCGCGACAGCAAA